CACTTGACTTACAGAGAGTTCATCTGTCTAGTATGAATGCCTCTTTTCTCACCAATTGTGTGAGGCATTTACCAATGAGAATAGTCACACTATGAATTTATATGAGTATACGTGTCATATTGACATTTTTGACTTTTGTTGCAACAGTTAACCATTTTATATAGGGCTTATGTAATGATAATGGTAATATTTATTGATTTTGACTATTGCCACTCTTACAACAAAGTTTTGTAGTTTCTGTGTTTTTTTTTTTTTTTTTTTTTTTTTTTTGTTCTTTTTTTTGTATTTGAGTTTTGTTGGTTGAGTCCAATCTGTTGGAACAATAGTTTGTAATGTTGAGTTCTAGGTATTATACAACAGTATTTCTCGTATCATTGCGGATTTTGTTTTTTGTTTAACTTAGGTATACTAGTGCGCCTATTACTCTTTTTGTAAATATTGCCCATGTGTCTCAGGTCATGTATCTGTCAATTCATTTAAATAGCTTACAGGAGCAGCGTGAAAAAGCCGAAAGTCATCGGTATATTAAGCAAGGAGACAGTTGTGTGGAATGGTTGTTAGGTCGTTAATGAATATAGGAAATAGGATCGAGCCTAATACGGAGCCTTGTGGGACACTGAACGAAACTGGTTTCTTAGTTGACATATTATTACGAATTTGATTGACTGCTTTCCTGTAGATAAATTACCTCTGAACCAATAGTTGTCAATTCCATGACTTTTCATTTCGAAAAAAAAAAATTCATGGCTGACACTATCAAAATAGTTTTGATAGATCATACAACGTGTAGATTTATTTGATTTTTGTCTATGTTGTCACAGAGTTATAGGACGATGATTTTTAAATTGTTCTGCATATCCTGATTTGAAAATAGGCGTTATGATGCCTCGTTTCCAAATTGATGGGTTGATACCGGTGACTGTAGATGTATTTATAATGACAGTTAAATAAAATGCAATTGCGGTAAGCTTTCTTTTGTGAATCGAAAAGCGATGCTACCCACTCCTACAGCTTTCGTTTCACGCAAGTGTTTTATCGTTAAGACGTTTTTATTTCCATTGGTTGTAGCCTGAAAACATTGTCTGTTTGGTGTATTTTATTTGGTGCTAATTTTAAACTTTCCGTTTCATTGGCATCGTCAGTCATTAAACTTACTTTGAACTGAGTTGTTTTTTGCAGATTGGATTAATGTTTTAACATTTCTCTTTTTTATATTCAACCTGAAGGGTGATGTCACTTCTGTTCTTTTTGAGAGATTGCGTGTGTTATTTCAGTCATAACTCTTTTGATGTCCATTTATCCATGGAACGAGGGGACGTTTAATAATTTTCGAGGGCATGTTTACTTGTCTGTTAACGCCATCTGTTGTTAAAATTTCTAAGAGGGTTGACTGGCTGGCATTGATATCTCCTATCATGGTCTGCGATCTGGCAATGGATAACATTAGTATAAGTAACGAGATTGGATTTGTTTGATATAATAACGTCTAGTATGGATGAGATGTTTTCTGTAATCCTTGAAGGTTTATTTATTAACTGTTGTAACTGTAAGAGGGAGAGAGAGAGAGAGAAAGAAAGTGTTTGATTTACTTTGATTTAAGATTTTTTTTTCTTCTTCTTCTTTTTTACATTTGCTACAATAGTTATTCTTGGTGTGATGGGCTGTCTGCCCATTGAGAGGTGGGGAAAAAGACAGATAGACAGACAGGCATACAGACACAGAGACGGAGAGAGAGAGGGGAAGAAATAAAGAAAAAAGTCACCACGGAAAGAAGGTAACGTCATCACCATTCCAGTGTGGGACTTCTACGACCGACCCTACGACGGTGGGCCGGTCTACGCCAATATCCCTACATCCGCTATGGGACCCGACCGTGAATTCGACGAACCCGACCTATCCGACAGCGGGGCGAAGGAGAACCGTCCGAGAACCCGCTTCCCAGAGACATGGCTGTGGGACATCGTTGTCGTGCCGTGAGTTGACTTCAGAGTCGCGGTTTGGGCTTCCACGCGAGGGTATAGTTGATGTAATGGATATCTATTGATATATACATGCATGTACATATCTATAATAATATTGATGATGATAGCATCATTATCTATATAATCATTAATATTATTAGTCTTATTATTCTATATCATTATAATGATATGATATTGGTAATAATGATAGCAATAATAAAAATGATAATAATTATTATTATTGTTGTTACTTTTACTATTACTATTAGAATTATTTTTCATTCGTATTGTTATTATTGTTATCCTTATTATCATTATTATTATTATTATTATTATTATTATTATTATCATTATTATTAGAAATAGTAGTAGTAGTAATATCACTATTATCAGATCATCATCTTTATTATCATTATCATTATAATACTGATTATTATCATTGTAATACTGATTCTTACCATTATTATTATTATTTTAATTATTTTATTATATTATATTATTTATTATTATTCATTATCATTATTATCATTATTAATTTC